TGTGCGACTGAAAGGTTCTTTTTTCATATGTTTAGGTCTGGTTTAATTAACTTTTCTTTATGATGTTGTGTTGCCTCTTTTTCTCTACTGCTGTCTCCAGTTCTTGCCTCGGACTCCTGATTAGTACTCTTGTTCCCCACCTTTATCCTTTCCCCAAATCTTGCCTCCAGAGCGGCGTCACCTATCGCTTCCCAACCACTGTTACCATTTCTCGCCTCAAACTTCTGGCTAGCATCCTTATCCCTCTTCTGTCCTGTGCCTTACTTCTGTCTCTGGAGCTCCATCTGTGCACCCAACAATCACTAACTCCCCGCCCCACCAACCATGCTCGACCCGTTTATCCATCAACTTCTAACCACGGCCAGCCGGTAAGTGCCAAGCAGTACCAGCAAGCGACGCGCAAAATAACGTTGACGGGGAAGCTGGGTTTTTTAATAGCGGCCGGGCCGAGTTTTAGTAATTGTTGGAAAGTTGGAGGTGGTGACGGGGACGTTACGCCGGCTGTTACTCCGGTGTCGTTTGGCTGCGGAGGTTGGGGGGGCGTGAGGGGGTGGGGTGAGCAAATACGGGGACTGACTTCGGCGGCGGGACGTGCGAACTCGTTCGTGGGTATAGGGGTCCTCCAAGGGGACTAGAAGGGAAAGAAGGAAGAGCTGTGGTGCGGGTTCGGGATGCAAAGGCTCAGTGAGTAATCGTCCGGGAGTTGGCGAATATAATCCTTCAAATCGGAGAGAGGCACTACTCGAATGACAGATACATACAGTTCGTTTTCAGCACGATCTCGTTCAAAATCACGATGTTCGGATGACTTAGTTCCTTGAGCAGCGCGACCTCTCGGGCCGTCGTTCCCAGTGTCCCTTCCTCCTCGTCTAAAGTGTAAACCTCCTTCACTGCAACGTACTTGTCGTTCCTCTTGTTCGAGGCCTTGTAGACGACTCTGTACGTAATTTCGCCGATCTTCTGAATGCGCACATAATTTTCAGGGCGCTTTCACCGCTTGCATTCATCTCTATCGATAGTTCAGAAAAGCACTGGTCGAGCTCGCTATGTCTGAGACAAACACCGATGAAGAGAGGCAAACATGTGTCTTTCAACAGCTTCGTTCTACTGCCCTTTTTCGCATGCATATTATTCAAATTTTAGAGGATTTTCTGAGGTGTTTAACTCAATTCCTGAGAAATTGGCATCACTGTCGAGCTTGCAGAAGCGCTGAAGAGACGCGCCGTCTGTTTCTGGTTGCTTCCCGGATTGCTTTTGTCGATCAAATTCATGTGGAAATGCTTCGCCCCACTGCTTCTCTTGACCACCGCTAAATTTCCGCTTGACTTGATCGTGCAGTAGGCACTCATTTTAGTGCAAAAAGCACTCCTTTGTGGGTTTGGAAGCCAATTACTAAGTAGCGGCACGCATCAAATTAGTTGGTGCGGTTATGCATCGCGCAGTTCCGTCGAGCGAAAGTTTACCTGTTAAGGATTTTCACTGCTTTGCACTTTGGTCTGTGCAAAAGTAGTTGAAATATTGTCTGGTTCCTAACTTGCGTAATTCCCCACCAAAAATTTCACGTGCCGGTACGTGAAAGCTGGATTTGAAACCTTCGACTGTGGACATCCTTCCAAGATCAACCTCCTAATTTCATGGCTTTCGAATGATTTTTTTCCGCCAATACTTTTACGTGGGCGTGCGTGAGCGACGTGCTTGGGAACTAAATTTGAGTTTATGAGACCTCTGTAGTTTTCAGCCTTCTACTTCTGTCCTCCGGGTAATAACTTTTTCCACCAGAACTTCATGGGGACGTTAAGACCCAGGCGTGCGTGAAGGCCGAATTTGAATCTGCGAAGTTGTACGTGGACAGGGTTAGTACCCCAAAATCTCAGCTTACCAGCTTTTGGGGCTTACAAGATAATAATTTTCCCCACCAGGACTTTTACGGGGTCATACGTGGTACGCGGACGTAGGGGAAGCGGGGTTACACTTGGGCAGGAACACTTCTGTGACTCGCGAGATAATAATTCCCCCGCCAAAATTTTCATGAGGCCGTATGTGATACCCGGGTGCGCGGGAATGATAAATTTAAATTTGAGAGGTAGTACGTGGGCAGAGCTCATTACCGTAAAGTTCTGTTTCCTAGCTTTCATAGTTCCTGAGACAATAATTTCCTCCGCCAAAACCTCCGCAGCGCCGTACGTGGAACCCAAAGGCAGGGGAAGGCTAAAATTAAATTTGCAAGGTCACACGTGGGCCGGGATCACTACTGCACAATTTCAGTTTTTATGCGTTTTTGCTGTGCAGCGCTGTAGCGCTGCTACAGCCAGCAAAACGCATATTGTCGAGAGGCTGTCTGTGTGTGTTTGTTCGGAAAGCGAGTGCATTTTGTCACCC